GGGCGCGGCGGGGCCCGCGGCTCTCGAGACTCGCATCTGGCGAGGCGGCTCGGCGTCCGCGGAGGTCCGGGAGCTTCTCGAAAGCCCCGGCGCCATCGTCCCCCGGGAGCCGCCGTGCTCCTTGTAACTCGAGCCGGCCCGGGAGGCCGGTTGCTATGGTGACGCTGGGCGCCCGGCTCTGTGAGGCGAGGAGGGAGGCGGGCCTTGGCGGACGTCACCCAGACTCGGTTTTGGGGTGCGCCTCACCCCGACTAATTGTTTGCCAGAAAGGAACCCGTGAGATGTTTTGTAAGTGATAGACCCCAGGGGGCCGCCCGAGTGCAGAAAGAGGGAACAGGCGTTCCCCCGTCAACCTCCTCCTGGGTCCCGCTTGCCAAAGATTTTAACGGTCTGTCCACGCAGGGAGAAGGCGTCGTAATTTGGAGGATTTGGCCACGCCAGCCACGCCCTTTGCTGGGGCCTTTGGTCTTTATAGGCCACGCCCACGGGCGGGGGCTCGCTCTAGACCACGCCCCTCCCCTCGGGCGCGTGGAAAGAGAACCGAAAAGGAGGAATTGTGTTGGTGACTGAGTTGACTCAGCGTAGCTAATCGCGCGAAGACAGTCTGGGGCGGGCTGCCTTCCGCAGGCGTCCTCCGACGCCGCCCCGCCCCACTTTTCGCGGCGAACTCTCGGTTCTGCGCCTGCGCGTTGTCCCTTCTAGCGCGCGAGCTGAGCGAACACGCACGGAGTCGCCGGGGCGCGCAAAGTGGGCGGGGCGGGCATGATCAGGCGCGCGCGCGTCTGGAGTGACGCAAGAGAGCAGCCGAGTTGGGAGGATCGGTGGGTAGAGTGGTGCAGCCAGGTTGTTTGGTGGGTGGTACGTAAGGCCGCTCTGGGCACGGGGGCTCCGATCTCACTGGCCTGCTCGGTTCTAGGAGCAGATCCGGGGCAGAGGGAGGAGAGCTTCGGGTCGGGGGCCGCTGCCGCCGCCGCCGCCACTGCCGGGGAGTCCACCCGCCAGCCCGCTAGCCCGTGCTTCGCGGGCCCTGTCGGTCAGGGTAAGCTGGCCCGCGCTTTGGAGGGAGGAGCATGGGATGAAAAAGTGTGGGAAGACATGGGGGCCTGTAGGAGTAAGGGGAATAGGGGCGTGTGTGTGTGTGTGTGTGTGTGTGTGTGTGTGTGTTGGAATCCCGCCGAATAGTAGTAATGGTGACCACCACCGCACGGTAACAATATTTTGTGATACGTGCCAGGTCTTTGAAAAGAACCTTAAATGCTTCATTCTCTAAACATCTACAACCCCCTCCAAGGTGCATAGTGCTACAAGCCCATTTTACCATATAGGAAAACTGAGGCTCGAAAGAAGTTAAGTAACTTATGCAAGGCCACACCACTAGTACTGGCTTGGTCTGGCTTCGAACTTGGGACTGTCTGGCTCTACGGCCTGTAGTTTTATATTTTTGCTTTATCAAAAGGAAGAAAAAAAGGAATGGGTGTTGAGGAGGAGGGAAGGGTTAAGTATGGTTTAAAGCGCGAGGGTGATCCTGAACGGGAAGAGAACGAGGACGGGAGAGTGAATAGAGAGGACCTGAGTTTGGAACCTTGCGAGCCTCCCCCTTCTAACTCCCCGCTGCCTCCTTAGTTCTTGCGGCCCCATAACTTTCCCTTGCTCTTCTGTGGCTGGCTGAGCCAGGACCGTTGCTCTGGAGGAGCCAGCTCTCAGACCTTGGCCACTCGGGTGGTTTTAAGAACGGGTTGAACCGCGACTTGGTCCAGGGCGGTGTCTACAGACACTGTGGTTGCGTTTGCGGGGGGGTGGGCATGGGCTGGAGGGCTGGAGGACCGCGGCGGCCGTGCACAGTGGGGACCCTCTTCCTCGCTGCTGCCATTTCTTCTAACGCTTTGTTACTTCCTTTTCCATCTCGGTCGTGCACAGCAAAGCCTTTGTTCAGTCTTCTAGAATAGGGAAGTGATGTTTAATGTTTCCTTGCACATTTAGACCAAACAAAACCAGAAAAGCCACACAGACACTCAGATGTTCTTTTCTCAAGGAAGGCTTGATTCTCTGAATTGCTTGCATAAAAACTTCCCGGTGGCTTTGTTATTGGTTGCTCTTCAGAACTTTCCTGCGTAAGTAAGAAACTCAGTATTACAGAAGTTCACACTGTAGTCATCCAGAGCGGTCAGAATTGATTACACTGCAAGTCAGCACAGGTCAGGGATCTCCATAATTCTTAGGAATGTGTGTTTGCGAACACCTTTCCCTCTTGCATTTTCATATGTAGCTCATGTGGGAAGCGAAATTTAAAGTCAGTCTTTGAGACAAACACTGTATGTGATCAAAGTTATCCTTAACAATTAGTTTGGAAGGTGCAGCGTTTGGTTGAGATCGCTATTCTGTTTTTCCAGTAAATGCAACAGGTAATTTTTTCCTTTATCTTTGGAACGTGTTACTGTTTCTTTGGTTGGAATCCAAGAAAAGTAATTAGGTTACCTTTAGGGGCTATACTGTACAGATAGTATTGAGAAGGCGTGGTCATGCGGCACTGAGATGCACTCACCCCTCCCACTGAGTTGAAGAGGAAGATAAACGGAGTGAGGGAGGGGATGTGCTCACTGAGTGGTGGAAAGTGGCAGGCAGAATTGCTTTTATTATTTAAACTGCCATTTTGTGTCCCTTTTTTTTTTTTTTTTTTTTTTTGCCAGCACATGTAGTAATTTGACTTGTTAAGTTTTTGAGGGGCACTGCATTTAGGGGCTTGCAAGCTATTTATTTCCCCATAGATCCCTCACCCAGCATTTGGCGCTAGAATGTCCTGCATATTTTTGCCAGTGGTCTGGCTTGTGCATTCTGCGTTTGTCAGATGTATAACAATGCCTAGCTTTTAAACAGCCCTTAGCTTTTTAAAAACAAACTCTGGTAGAGGCCAAAGGGATTTTTTGCTTGTGTCCCTTTTGTTCTTTTTGCTTTTATGGAACATCTCTCAGAGTCTGGGAGTATACCCACTTCTAGGTAAAGTATATAGTTTGTTGTTGTGTTTAAAATGGCATCAAAAAGGAAGTACATTGTTTCATTTAGGGAAATAAGGAAGTGGCACTGATTTAACATTAAATGGGCATAAGAAATATTGTTGTTATTTTTTAAAAGAATTATTTATTTGGGCCTGGCAGGTGGCATAGTGGCTAAGGTGCTGGACTCCCATATGGTTGACCATGATTCAAGTCCTGGACCTGTCGGCTTGCTTTCTCTCTTACTGTCTCTCTTTCTTTCTATGTCTCTCTCTGACCAAAATAAAAATAAAAAAATAAATAATAAAAATTACTTATTTAATTTTACTTATTATTTTAGAATTTGACCAGAGAGAGAGAGGGAAAATGAGAAAGCAAGCCACCATGTCCAGGACTTGAACCATAGTTGGCCATGTGGGATTTCAGCTCCCTCCTTAACCACCATGCCACTTTTGACCCCTAGAAAATAGTTTTAAGCTCTTTTTTTTAAAAATTTATTATTTTTTAATTTACTATAGGGCACATGTACTCAGAGAGACACAGAGAGACACAGAGAAAGAGAGGGAAAAGTGAGAATGCAAGTGACCAGGTCTGGGCCTTGAACTGGTAAATCTTTTTTTTTAGAGAGATATTTTTGCTGTAGGATATCTGGGCTTGCTGGAGAGACAGAAAACGAGAAATCACCCGCCAGTGGGGATGGCCATGCCGCAATTTCTTCTCTGTTGTCCTCTCAGAATTTTGGGCATGCACCCACAAGCCCAGCTGAATTTCAAGCTGCTGGGTCTGGAACTCCAACGGTGGTCAGCCATGTGGGAGTCCAGCGACATCATCATTACACCATCTGCTGGTCCCCAGGGGAAAATGTTAAGCAAAATTACGAATCTAAAATTCTGAGTCCCAACATTTTTCCCTTCTTTCTTTCTTTCTCTCTTTCCTTCCTTCCTCCCTCCTGCCCCTCAACTTTTTTCTTCCTTTCTTTTCTCTCTTCTTTTTTCTTTTCTTTCTTGCCAGCTGGCACTTGTACTGGTAAGAGAAAAACAGAAATGAAGTGCCCCACAGTGGGCCTAGTCACATCATAACCCTGCTTTCTCCAAATCTCCATCCCATTGGCATCCCGAGCATGTATTTCTGGGTTGTTTTTTTCAAGCCCTCTGGGCCAGGGCTTGACTCTGGTTGGCTCTGCGGGATCCAGCCTCCTCTGCCCAAGTGCTTAACTGCTGTGCTAGGGGATGGGCCAGCATTTTCCTTCCCTTTTTTCTTTACTCATGATAGAGGATGCACACATAAGAAAGAGAGAGAGCGTCCACACGGTCTGGTCGTGCACTGATCCCCCTCCTCCAGTCTCCAGCACGACCCGTCTTGGACATTCATTGTGTGCACAGCGGGTTCCAGGCTGACTGGGCTGGGGATTCAAATGAGCGAATCCGAGTAGCCCCGGGGGACCTGGCTTCTCTTGAGCAGTGCATTACTGCTGAGCCGTGGAGTGGGCTCCCAGCATTTTAAAGATTATGGTCAGATAGTGGAATTTTATTACACATTCTGAGCTTCTGTTTTTTTCCCAGTGTTTTTCATTGTTCATGTGTCAGTCTTAATAGAACAAAAATTAAGAGAATAAATGGATTTTTGCTTTTAAGAAGTTTCTACCTGGGGTCTAGCAGGTTGTGTAGTGGTTAAGGTGCTGGAATCCCACATGGTTGGCTGCAATTCGAGTCCAGACCTGGTAGCTTGAATCATGCATGCCAGGCCTATGTGCATGAATGCCCAGAATCCCAGGAGGAGAATGGAAATGAAGGGATTCTTGCGTGGCCATTCCCACTGAGGGTAATTTCTCGCTTTCTGTCTTTCTGCCTCTCTCTGTCTCTCTGGCAAGTGCATGTATCCTTATAGCAAAAAAATAACTCTCAAAACAAACAAAACAAAAAACTGTAATTTCAGGGAAACGTCTGTAGAGCTGTAGGGTACTTTGAATAAATGGAATCTTCAAGGGTCACAATCCAACAGATTTGTTTCTCAGAGAAATAATGACACTTGAGAATGCCAATTTTGTTTGATTTCAGATTCTTATTGTTGCATCTGCTGATTTTTTTTTTCCCTTTTGGAGAGAAATGTTTGCTATAGGGTATATGCACTTGCTGGAGAGACAGAGAGAGAGACAGAAAGTGAGAAATCATCCCCCAGGGGGGATGGCCACTCCACAATCCCTTCTCCATTCTCCTTCCAGGATCTTGGGCATGCATGCACATGTACCTGGCCTGATTTTTGGAGAGGTTTTATTTAAAGTAGGTATTAATAACTGAAATTTTGATTTTCAGTATGGTTAATGGTTGAAAATAGCAAGTGAGCGGGAACCAGCAGTTAGCGTAATGGCTATGTCGCTGGATTCCCACGTAGTCGACCGCGGTTCGCATCCCGGACCCGGTGGCTTAAAACTCACGCCGGGCGCGTGTGCGTGCGTGCCCAAGATCCCGAGAGGAGAATGGAGGAGAAGGGATTGCGGCGTGACCATCCCCTCTGGGGGGTGATTTTTCGCTTTCTGTCTCTATGTCTCTCTCTGTCTGTCTGGCGAGCGCACGCGCCCTATAGTGAAAACCTCTCAAAAAAAAAAAAAAAAGAAAATAGCAAGTGAGGTTGGTTTTTGCTAGTTAATTCTCTCATGTCATGAACATTTTCATAGATCTAAAGTATTACTGGGATGTTGGAAAAGTCATGACATTTTTGCACAGAAAATCATGGAGAAATACGTCGTGACTTTTCCGATGACCCAGTACATAAAGTTAGTTAATTATCTCTAGTTGTATTTGACTTTTAGACTATGAAGAAAAAAAAACGAGATTCCGGCTACAGTGATTACTTTAGGCATGTTTTCATAAATTGGTCTCTGGGCATAGTGACGTGGAAGTCATGGAGGAGGGCGTATTTTGTGGTCATGGGACTGTTTCGGTCTTTAGGTAGTCAGTGTGCAGAAGGTTGGTTCAGGCTATTGGTTTCACCTTTGCTAAAGGGTAGCTTGGGCAAAAATTTCTGCAGGTTAAAAAAAACTAATGAAGTGGGGCCAGCAGGTGGCGGGGTGGTTAAGGTGCTGGACTCCCACATGGTGGACCTCAGTACAAGTCCCGGACCTGCAGCTTTTTCACTTTCCCTCCCTCGTGCGCTTTCTCTCTCCATCTTTGGTCAAATTAAAAATACATAAAGTTAAATAAAATACTTATTTAAAAAATAAACCAAAAAAACTAATGAAGTGATGACAAAATATTGTTCTGGTGTCTTTGTTGACTCACCATGCCAATGTGTAAACTTACATGATTTCAAAATATTTTTGACTCTAGATCAGATCACACACTGTCTGGCTTGTCCTCTCACGCAGTTAGTGGAACAGGACTTCCCAGGTCTCTGCACGATGCCTGCGGCACTTGTGGAGAACAGCCAGGTTATCTGCGAAGTCTGGGCCAGCAATCTGGAAGAAGAGATGAGGAAGATCCGAGAGATCGTGCTCAGTTACAGCTACATCGCCATGGTAAGGAGCTCAGCTGTATTTGACTCCCTGTTCTGTGGGTGTAGGGGATTTTAATGTTAGATTTTGAAAAGTAATGATTGTATTCCATTAATTCCATGGTAAATTAAACTTAATAGAAGCTTGTGTTTATGAAACATTAAGGTAACCAGTGTTTCTGAGAAGCATACAACTTTTTTAGAAAAAATTATTTTATTGGGACCAGCAGTTAGTATAATGGCTATGTTGCTGAACTCCCAGGTTGCTGAACTCAACCGTGGTTTGAGTCCCAGACCCGGTGGCTTAAACTCACACCGGGCGTGTGTGCATGTGTGCCCAAGATCCCAAGAGGAGAATAGAGGAAAAGGGACTGTAGTGTGGCCATCCCCCCGGGGGTTGATTTCTCACTTTCCGTCTGCCTCTCTGGTGAGGGGGCATGCCCTATAGCAAAAAGCTCTCCAAAAGAAATTTTTTATTTAATTTTATTCATCATCATTATTATTTCCCAGTTTGATCAGAGAGAGACAAACATGGAAAAATAGAGAAAGAGAGAGAGGGAAAGTGAGAAAGCAAGCAACCTGGTCTGGGACTCATGATTGGCCATGTGGGAGTCCAGTGCCTTCAACTACCACACCACCCACCAACCCCTGAATATAACCTTTAGTATCTTAGATTTTTTGGTAATGTTACTCTGTTTGAAAGTATTTTTTTTTGAGAGAGATTTTGCTATCAGGCGTGTGCGCTTGTCAGAGAGACAGCGAGAAATCACCGCCCCGGGGGAATGACGACACCGCAATCTCTTCTCCATTCTCCTCCTGGGATTTTGAGCACACATACATATGTGCCTGGCGAGAACTTGAAGCCGCTGGGTCCAGGACTCAAACTGTGGGTGACTATATGGGAGTCCAGCGACGTAACCATTATACTATCTGTTGGTCCCATAAGCAGTCATATCAGCCCATAAATCACATCTCTTCCACAGGTGTGAATTTTTTATTTTTTAAGATTTTTTCCCCCCCCATAGGGGGTGTTTGCTTGCCAGAAAAGAGAGAGAGAGAGACAATATAAAAACTCCCCCTGGGGGATAGCCACACCTCAGTTCCTTCTCCATTCTCCTCTCTGGATTTTGGGCACACATTCACATGTGCCTGGTGTGATTTTCAACCTGTCAGATCTGAGGCTCACACCGAGGTTGGCCATGTGAGAGTCCTGCACTTTAATCATCATGCCGCCCACTGGCCTTTGGCTATACAGTATTGTAAACATTTTTTTTTTTTTTTTGAGAGGTTTTTGCTATAGCGTGCATGCACTTGCCAGAAAGACAGAGAGACAGAAAGTGAGAAATCACCCCCAGGTACATGGCCACGCTGCAATCCCTTCTCCTCCGTTCTCCTCTTGGGATCTTGGGCATGCATACACGGGCGCCTGACGTGAGTTTAAGCCACTGGGTCCAGGACTCGAATCACGGTTGACTACGTGGGAATCCAGCGACACAGCTATTATTCCAACTGCTAGTCCCTTGTAAATAGTTTTTAAAAATTTGTGGCCAGGCCAGCAGGTGGCGTGATGGTTGGAGCACTGGACTCCCACATGGCCAACCACACTTCAAGTCCCAGACCTAGCAGCTCACTTTCTCACTTTCCCTCTTTCTCACTCTCTCTTATGACTATAGCAAGCTAAAAAAGATAATAATAATAAATCAAATCTTTAAAAAAGAAAAAAAAATTATTGCCAGCATTTAAAAAATCAAGAGACCTCACTTAAATTCCAGATTTTTGGGATATCTGAAAAAACTGGGAAGATTGCCATATTCCTGACTGATGTTGAGTGGCTGGAGAAAATAGTATTAAGGGACTCCTTTAGATAGGTGTGGTCTTTCTTTCACTCCAGTCCCCATCACGTGTTATCGTTTCATTCCTAGCTCACTTTATTTCTTTGTATTAGTTCCTTGGAGTTGTTGACTCGTTTTTAGATATTACAGAATTAATTCTTTAGCCTGGTATTCAGAATTATATGATCTTGTTTTAGTCTCTTCTCTCAAGCTGAACATGGGTCTTTATTATTTGTTCTTTGCTATATATTCGTATTTTTTAAAGAATTACTTATTTTATTCATTCATTTATTTAATTTTTTAAACGAATTATTTGTTTATTTAATTCCATTTGTTACTATTTTTTAATTTGACCAGACAGAGACAGAGAGAGAGTGAAAGGAAACGTGAGAAAACAAGCCACCAGGTTCGGGACTCAAACCACAGTTGGCCATGTGGGAATCCAGCCCCTGACCACCACACCACCTACCGGCCCCTCATTCATTTATTTTAATTTGACCAGAGAGAGACACAGAGAGAGAGAGAGAAAGAGAGAGAGAAAGTGAGAAAGGAAGCCACCAGGTCTGGGACTTGAACCGTGGTTGACTATATCAAATTGTCCAGCGCCATAACTACCGTGCTGCGTGCTGACCCCAGCTATATTCATATTTGTATTCATGTATTGTTTTCACTGTAGTAATTGACTAGACGTCTTCCTAGTCAATTACTTCTCAGCTACTTCTGCTCATATCCTGTTTAGGTTCTTTTCCTGATTCCAGTGCTTCTTCAGTTGTTACTGACAAGATCAGCATTTAAAAAAAATTTTTAGAATTTAAAAATTTAATTTATTATTATTATTTTTAATTTGACCACGGGGAGAGAGGGAGAGAGAAAGAGAGAAAGCCATCCACCAGGTCCAGGACTCAAATCGTGATCAGCCATGTGTGAGTCTAGCGTCCTAACCACCATGCTACCTGCTGGTCCCAAGATCAGCATTTTAAGATAGATATTTGTGTGTAAGTTTGAGGCATGTCACCTAACTTTTTTTATAGATTGAGGTGAACTTTTATTTATGAATTATCAATTTGACATACACGTTTTGTGAAACCTTACAATGAGAGAATCTTTTGTTTTCCAGGACACAGAATTTCCAGGTGTTGTGGTGCGACCAATTGGCGAGTTTCGTAGTTCCATAGATTACCAGTATCAGCTTCTGCGGTGCAATGTTGACCTTTTAAAAATTATCCAACTGGGCCTTACATTCACAAATGAGAAGGGAGAATATCCGTCTGGAATCAATACTTGGCAGTTCAACTTCAAGTTCAACCTTACGTAAGTGTCTGAGGCACTTCTGCTATTCCTAGGTCTGCTAAGAATATTTTCACAGACTGATTTCTAACCTGACTCCTTCAGATTCAAGTTTTTTGTTTCCACTGAACACCTATAGGTGTTGGACGTAGCAGTTAAACAGAGGGTGTAGGG